TCAGAAGAAAAGGGGGAAAAGATAAGTCCATGTGATAGGAGTTGTAGGTCACATAACATCCGGATGACCATCCCCTTCTCCATTTTGCTCCCACAATCTGTTCCTATCCTCACCTATCAACTGTTTATACATTCAATAAGAGCCGTGAGTCTCACAGTGTGATCCCCAAACCAAGCAGCATCAGCAGAACTTGAGAACTTGTTAGACATGAAAATTCTCAGGCCCCATCCCGGACGTACTGAATGGGAAACTCTGAGGGTGGGACTCAGCAGTCTGTGCTTGAACAAGTCCTCCAGGGGATTCTAGGGCCTGCTCAAGTTCAAGAACCACTGACAATGAGATTTCCTTCATGTCTACTTGCTAATTTCCGTATTTCTTTTTGCCTGTTAACAGTTCCTTGGTGTCCAAAACTGCAGCCTGTATCAAAACAAAGCTCCTCCCCCAGGTGATGCCATCCTCCCTCTTGGTTCTCACACTACCTCCCTCCTCAAAGTGCCCAGACACCCAGTTTCGTCTCCTCTAAACTGAATCCACCCCATACCCTGTGTCACTTGTTGGTGGGATGGCCCTTGGGCTCTGAACTCCTTCACTTCATCCCAACTGTCCCACTAAAGACGCCTGCCTTGTGCTGTAAGCTGCGTGAGCATGTTCACAACAGGAACCCTGCCTTTTATTTGAATTCATCATAGTGTCGGATAATAGAGAAAACCTAATAAAAGTCTAACTGGTTGTTCTAAATCAGTGTTTCCCAAGGAGGAGTCTACCGGCATGTTGAGGGTGCAGATTCTAGGCCCCATTTCTATCTATTAAACTAGAAATTTCTGGGGACAGGGACCTACATTTTCAATGCACAGTGAAATCTGATGACCTCTGAGGTAGACAAAATTCATCTTGAAAGGGGCAGACTTAGATTAACTGCTTCTAGAGCACAGGATACTGAACTAAGAAGAAGAAACAAAAGGCGAAGAGCTTACCTCCTTCTTAACCTGGGGCCTACTTCTTTAATGTATTCCACCGCTTGTCAGGTTCAAAACCAGGACACCACACTTGGTCCTCTCGAATGTTGTGGAATAATCTATCAGTGTGTCTTCCCAGCCTACACTTAAGGGATTGGTTTTCCGACCCTAATGAATTTTATCTTTTTAATATTCAGTCCAGGAATTTAGGCTTTAAGACTATTTAGAAGTTATTCTTTCCACCTATTTCTCCTAGACCTATTCATTTGTATGGTCAGTATTGACAAAATGTAAACATGGATTTTTTTTTTCAGGTGTAAAAAGAAAACACCAAAATAGCTGCCAAATGGCAAATGGCATTATTTATAACCCGTGACACATTGTTCCACAACCAAAAATACCTCCTGGCTTTAGTTCTGAAAGTTAAACTTACTCTCCCACAACCAACTGCTCCACAACCTCCTCCTATCAAGAGGTATGTGCTCCATCCCCCCGATACACACCCCAAAAATGCCTACAGCTAGACAGATTGACTGTCAACGTAGTTACTACAAAGCATGCTATGTAACAGAAGCAGAAGGAAGTCTGAGACAAGTGACTTTTAATGCTATTGCAAGAGAAGTGGTTATGAAACAGAAATGACAAGTTCTTTCCTATAATTAGCATTGATTGGGTCCTTTCTCAAAACAATTTGTGCTCATCTTTATCTTGTCAAACACATGCAAATCCTTTTTTTAAAACTTCACTAATTAAATTTTCACCAGTCCTTTCTAAACTAAGCTGTGTAGGAAACACACACACACACACACCTAAAGTCTCTAAAAATTATTAGCTCTTACTTTTTACTTTTTTAAATTGCCAAATTCTATTTCTGGGATTCATTTTAAGGGGATAATTTTAATAAATGTTCATGGGAAGAACCTATATTGGCTCATTCTGGCTAGCAGAAATCTGTGTTTGTTTGTTTTTTATATTGAGTATACTTAACATGGTAAAAGTCACCCTTTTTAGGTGTACAAGTCAATGAGTTCTGGTAAATGTACACAGTCGGGTAACCACCATCAAAATTAGAAAATTAAAATGTACTGGCTTGCATTTGTAGCCCAATTATTGGACAGTGCTGGTAGAGATTATGGCTGTTCCCTCAGTCCCTCTGCAGCAGTGACCACGTCCCCACTGCTAGCTCCTGACAACCTGTCATCTGATTTCTACACTTAAAGTTTTGTCTTTGTTTAAAATATTTCTTCTTTTTGTCTTGTATCTTCTAATTTTCCATAATACCTAGTATTGTTTTTTGTAATTTAAACAAAGTTATTTTTATCTTCAAAATATTTGAAAAAGCTGTGAACATTTCCTATAGTTTTCATTAGCCAATGTCATTTTCATTAACCAATGTCATTTCATTAACCAGTTCCTAAATTAGGAGGCTACCACACATGCATTCTGGGTAACAAGCTATCTTCCAAAAGACGACGTGCACAAAGTGGTTCATAATTGAATAGAGACCATTGTGCAGGCGCACAAGAGCATCTATTCACAGATGCTGGGGGAGATCTGAGCCAGAGGTGGGGAACTTCCTGTAGCTTAATTTTATTTAGCCTCAGGCCTGTGCAGAGAAAGCTTTATCTGTGCGGAGGAAAGGTTGGAGAGAAATGTAAAGCACTGAATTGGTAAATAATTTACAAGTGGGAGGGGGAG